TGTTGACTATCAGTTTGTCATATAAAGCCGTTATTATGTTGGGATATGTGTCTTTTTAGTCCAGGTTTATTCAGAATTTTTAACATGAAAGGAGATTGGATTTTATCAAAAACTTTTTCTGCATCTATAGAGATGATCATATCATTTCTGTTCTTGAGACCATTTACATAATAGATAATATTTGTTGACTTACGTATACTGAACTGTCCCTCCATCTCTGGAATAAAGTCAATTTGATCATAGTATATAATCTTTTTGGTGTGTTCTTGAATTTAATTGGCAAGTATTTTGTTGAGAATTTTTGCATCTGTGTTTATCAGGGAGATTGATCTATATTTTTTTTTCCTGCATCTTTGTCTGGTTTTGGTATAAGAATAGAACTAACTCTGTAAAATCTTTGGTGGCATTCCTTCCTTTCCTGTCCTGAGGGAGAGCCTTTTTCTTATTTGGATTAGTTCTTTGAGAATTCTGTACAATGTGTTTTTATCATATTCACCCCTCCCCACCCCACACTCTTCCCAGATCCATTCCCCTTCCTTACCCTCTCACCTTTGTGTTCTCTGTAATTTTTAAGCCCATTAAGTCTAATCTATGCTGTTCATACACTCTTGGATGTGTGGCCTTTCACTGGAGTGTGGTCAACCCACAAAGGATCACACTCTTAGAGAAAACTGAGGCTCACTCTCCCAACAGGTATTGGTTACAAATAGCTCCTTAGCTAGTCGGGGTGGAGCTTCATGCCCACCTTCCCCTCACCATGCTGGGATTTTGTGTGACTTGAGCTTGCACAATTTTTGTGCCTGATGTCTCAACTACTGTGAATTCAGCTGTACAACTGTCCTGTTGTGTACAGAAAACACTGTTTATCTACAGTCCTCCACCTCTGCCTCTAACAATCTATCCACCACCCCCTCTTCTACAAAGATTTCTGAGCCTTGGGAAGAGGAAGTGTGATATTGACTGTCACCCCTCAGGGCTGAGAACCCCAAATATTCTTGTTCCCTCCACTTTGGGCAGTTGTGGGTCTCTATGTCAATCATCGTCTACTGAAGACAGAAGTTTCTCTGATGCAGGCCGAGAGACATACTCATTTATCAGTATAACAACAAGTCATTAAAAGCCAGTATAACACTATGTCTATTTAGCAAAGTCATGGCAGGAGGTTCTCTTCTTGACACTATGACCTCTCTAGCCACAGGTTCCAAAGAACATTGATGAGCAAGTGTTTCTGTAGTAGGATATACAGCCCTTTGGGTATACGCCCAAGAGTGGCATAGCTGGATCATATGGTCGATTCCTTTCTAGCTTTTTAAGGAAACAGCCACACTGGTTCCCATAGTGGCTGCACCTACTTGCGCCCCCACCAGAATGAATAAGTGTTCCGCTTTCCCCGCCTGCAGCCCAGCATTTCCCGTTATTTTTGCTTTGACGTTAGCCATTCTGGCAGGGGTAAGAAGAAATTTCAAAGTAGTTTTAATTTGCATTTATTTCTCTGACAGCTAAGGATGCTGAACATTCTTTGAAATGTTTCTCGGCTGCTTGTATTTCATCTTTTGAGAACTGTTTAGTTCTTTACCCATTTTTAAATTGGGTTGTTTGTTTTCTTGATGTTTTTTAGCTCCTCATACATAGAGATACTAACCCTGTGTTGGATGTATAAGCTGATACTGACATTTTCCCCGTTCTTTTGGCCGAGTCTTCCCATGAATGGTGGTGTCCTTTTCTATACAGAAGAGTTGAGTTTCATGTGATCCCATTTATCAATTGTTGGTCTTAAAGCCCATACTACTGGGGTCCTGTTCAAAAAGTCCTTCTGTGGGTCTGCAAGTTGAAGCATATTCCATACTCTCTCCTCAGTCCGACTCAGAGCATCATGTCTTATCTTGAGGTCCATTTGGAGTTGAGTTTTATGTAAAATGAGAGACAAGGACCTAGTTTCATTATTCTGCATCCAGCTATCCAGTTTTATTAGCAATATTTGTTGAAGATGTTGTCTTTTCTGTAGTGTGTATTGTTAACTTCCTCCTCGATTCTCCTTTGGAAAAAAAAGGTTTTCCTTTGTCTCCCACACACAGATCTAGTTTAATCATGTGTGTATGTCTGTGTGTGTGCATGTGCCTGGGTCTGTGTCCTTGCCTGTGAGTACAGGTGCCCTGAGAAACCAGAGGCGTCAGATCCCCGATGGCAACAGAGTCACAGGCAGCTGCGAGCATCCTGCCTTGAGTGCTGGGAATCAAACTCAGGTTTGCACATGCTTTCACCCCCTGAGCCATACCTCCAGCTCTGTCTCCTTTTTCATAGTACCCTGATGTTTCCCACAAATGTCTAGACCAGCAGTTTCTCAACCTGTGGGTCATGACCCTTTGAGAGTCACAGATCAGATATGTACATTACGATTCATAACAGGAGCAAAATTACAGTTATGAAGTAGCAACAAAAATCATTTTATGGTTGGGGGTCACTACAACATGAGGAGCTGTATTAAAGGGTCGCAGCATCAGGAAGGTTGAGAACCACTGCTCTAGATAGACTTGAGATACACCCAGCTCTGTGGGTGAGTCTTGGTTGGGCTAAACCAACCAGCAATTTTCTTCTCTGGTCCCTGCAGAGGACTAGATCTGGGATAAGCATATAAGCTAATCACTAAAATTTTAAATGCAGACTTCTAAGGAAAAAAAAGATTATTGTACTTCTCTGACATTGATCCAGAAAACACATACCCCATGGGTTCAGGCACCCATCCTGCAGTCATGAGGGACAGCCTGGATATGAATAGAGGCGGTAAACAGGAGAACTAGACAAAGGGGAAATAAATTCAGATTCAGAAGCTTAAGCCACTTGAAGCCTAAGTAATTGCTGGGTTTCCCAGTTCCTGCCTAATACCTGTTTCTAATTAAGCTACTCAGGCCTTGTTTGCTTTCACTGGCCACTGAAAGACTGTCCGGTGCAAAGGTGACATGAAGGGAGGGGAGAGGGGGAGGAGGAGGGAGGGGGAGGGGGAGGGCACCTGTGATACTCCAGCTTTCTGGGTAGAGAGCTCAAGGAAGAGAAGTATGGTGAGAAGGCTTCACCGCAACAGGGATGGAAGGGCTGGCAGGATGGCTCAGCAGGTAAGGATGCTTGCTGTGAAAACTTGGTGACCTGATTTGGATCCCCGAACCTACAGAAAGGTGGAAGAGAAAAACCAACTCTACAAAAGTAGTCCTGTGATCACCACACGCATGCACACACACACACACACACACACACACACACACACACACACACACACAGTAACTTTTTTTAAAGAGGGGATGGAAAAGAAGAGCTGACCCTGAGCTTCACAGGAAAAAAAAAAGTGCACAGCAGAATGGTTCTGCCACAGGCTTTCTCCTCAGGATGATGAAGACCCTCAGCTCCTCAGGGAACTGGTGTTACCATTCACTGCATGATAGCTGGACCAGCAGTGGGGAGACAGTCAGGACCCCGGAAAGGGTTGGTTGAGCTGGTCCCAAGAATGTAAACGGGGTCAGAAGGCTATGGAAGACATTTTTTTTTTCAGTAGTGGAAATAAAAAGAACATGGAAACCTAGAGGATAAGAGGACAAAATGACCCTGTGACTCACAATGCTGAAGGAGCTGTTGATGACCTGGAACCAAACACGTTCCTGTTTCAAATCTCGTGCATTACTAGGTATCTTTATAACATAATGTTTTTGTTAATGCATGATAACTTCATACTCACATACCATGTAATTTTTCACCCCTCCCAGATCCAATCCCCACCCACCCCCTCACCTTGATGCCCTCTTCTTTTTTCAATATTCCCCAGTCCAACTTGTACTACGTGTGTGTGTGTGTGTGTGTGTGTGTGTGTGTGTGTGTGTGTGTGTGTACAGCAAATCCTGGATTAGGTAAGAGCAGGTCAACCTACGAGGGACCACACAGCCAAGGAAAACCGGCTCTCCCTCCTCTACCAGCCATCAGTTGTCAGTGGCTCCTCAGCTCGGGGTGGGGGCTGCTGAGCCCTCCAGAGTTTGTGCAGGAAACCGGGGCTGCTGTGAGTTTGCGCAGTGATCCTGGCATGACCAAGAACCCCCACCTCTCTAAACTTCCCCTTCTCATCAGTGAGTGAGCCTGCAAGCATCATCTGAGATTAACTTTGAAGGTCCAAAACTGCGGTTGTCTTGCAACAACAGCAAGACAGATGAGCACAGGGCAAGAAAGCATGAGAAGGAAGCACCTCTTTACTTAGGTCCTGGTCCTACTTGGCAGCAAACATGCTAGGCTTTATACAGTCCTAGTCAGCAAACATGCTAGGCTTTGTACAGTCCTAGTACCAAGAGGCATTCATACAAAGATCACACTTCTTAAAGCAATGACTTGTGAGAACTGCCGTTATTGACTTAGTTTGCTCTGTGTGCTTTCTTGGTAACTCTATGTTGAACTGGATCCACAATACTGTGAATGCAGGAAAGCGGATCACTTTCCACTGCTTGACTTCCAGCCTCAAGCTAGGCTCGCAACGTCTAAAGGGGCTGGCAGAGGCAGCAGCGGTGGCAGGGTCTGGAAACAGCTGGATGTGACTATCTCTGGTGCTTTTGTTCAACCTTGAAACCTTCGCCACAGGAGACTGCCAGGGCAGAGAAGCCAATGTGAGAAACAAAGAGAGATGGCGGAAAGCCCTTGGGACTAAGGAGGGGAGGTGGGACTCTGGGCTGGCGGTGGCACCTGGTGCCCGCTGTTAATAATAAGGTCGCGGTGCGTTTATAAGGTCCTTGATTAAACAAAGGCGCTCGGTGATAAGAATAACTAGCAACAGCTCCACATCTGAGTCGCCACCCCCGATCTTTTCAACGTGGGCTATTTGCGCCTAGCATCCTTTGCGCGGAGAACTGGATCTCACCTGACTCTGGGCGCTGAATCCAAGTGCTGCGGAGTCCTGGGCCACCCAGGCTGGCAGGGGCGGACCCGTGAGCGCACGAGGCGCCCCCCACGAGAGGGGGCGGGACCCATCTCCGTCCAGCCCGCAGCGCCGCGCACGCCTCGGGCACCTGCAGCCCAGCGGCTACCTGCAGTCGCAGCGCGTCCGGCCGCCCAGTCCGGTTGCCGGCTCTTGCTCCGCTCATCGCTGCCCGCCCGCCGCCGCGCTGCACGCCTCGAGCGCTCCCTCGGCCCCGCTGGGGACCGGGGACCCCGCAGCCGCCGCCGCCATGCTGCCGGTGCTCTACACCGTCCTGGCGGGGCTGCTGCTGCTGCCTCTGCTGCTCACCTGCTGCTGCCCCTACCTCGTCCAGGACTTGCGGTACTTCCTGCGGGTGGCCAACCTGGCCCGGCAGGTGCGCAGCTACCGGCAGCGGCGGCCGGTGCGCACCATCCTGCGGGTCTTCCTGGAGCGAGTTCGCCAGACCCCGCACAAGCCCTTCCTGCTGTTCCGCGACGAGACGCTCACCTACGCCCAGGTGGACCGGCGCAGCAACCAAGTGGCACGGGCGCTGCACGACCAACTGGGCCTGCGACAGGGGGACTGCGTGGCCCTCTTCATGAGCAATGAGCCGGCCTACGTGTGGATCTGGCTGGGACTGCTCAAGCTGGGCTGTCCCATGGCCTGCCTCAACTACAACATCCGTGCCAAGTCTCTGCTGCACTGCTTCCAGTGCTGCGGGGCGAAGGTGCTGCTGGCCTCCCCAGGTGAGCTGCAAACCGCCGCCGGCCGTAGCCCTGGGGGAACGCGGCGCCTTGGATGCGGGGGTGCTGCGGTGTGGTGGGAGGCAAGGGAGGCGGGAAAAAGGGGTCAATTCGAGATGTGCGACGCTCATTAATAATGTTTAGACTCGCCAGAGGTGAAGTGGCCTATATCTATCGAGGCACAGTGCTGAAGCACTTCGGTCCTCCAGTGTGGGGTCCAGTTTCCTTAAAACACCTAACACAATATTGAGCGCTATGCTGTTTTGTTTATAGAGACGACAAGAAGAAATGTGCGTCCGTGTTCCTCACGAGGCAGTTCCCCCACCCCAAAATTTTCCCAGGGGACCACTGTATATGCACACTCTTGCGTTTAATCCTCACAGCACATGGAGGTTATTGTGGGACATACAGATGAGACCAGTTCCACCCAGAGATTCAAAGCTTCATGCCCACAGTGTCAGGAAGACTCGGGGTTAACCAGAGGGATCTCATTCATTCCCCTAATCGGTACTTAAAACATTTTCATTAAAATTCAGAGGGGCTTGAGAGAGAACTTCGGTGGGTCCTGCCTCTAGCCCTTGGTAGACTTTCGATCACAGGAAAGCCATTTCCCAGCTCCATCCTTTCCTTTCCTCCCTGTCATGAAGCTAGCTGTCTTCAAGGCTACTTCAAGATCTTAAGTGCTGTTAGCACGCTTGGCTCCTCACTCCAGTGAGGCTGACTCCACCTGACGCTCAGCGAGAAGACTGGGGATCTGTGGCTGTGCTCTGGTGAAGGCCCGCTGCATCTGTAAAAACGGTGACTCCTTCATTTGGGTGGCTGCCTTTGACCTAAATGAAAACTTCATGCAGAAGTGATACCCAGGCCAGAAAGAAACAGAACCTGCTATCTACCCACAGAGCTGCTGAGTTACAACAGTTAGTCTCTGAACTCCGTCCTTGTGTCTCTGTGCTGGTGCCAGCTGGTGCTTCTCTCAGTAAGGAGAGGCCTAACCTGGGCTAGGCTAAAAAGACATTAGTGGCAAAACAGAAGATGAAGGGATGCAGAAGTCCCGACTCTTTGGGAAGCCTATCTGTGCCAAACACTGCAGTGGATGGCGCTAATACTCTGGGAAATTAAAACTCGTGCCTCCATTGTAAGACTGAGCAAGGTGAGGCAAAATTCCCAGCCTAAGTCCACCTTCAAAGCCCACGTTCTTTCTTATCTAGTGCCATCCTCTACACGGATGCATGCGTTAGAGCTCCACAGAGTCAAGAATCTGTCCGCTCTGCCCTTCACTTCTTAGCTCGGGAAACTGAGGCCAACTAAGCAGTTTGCCTAGTGCCCCCCAAAAGTCGAAATGTCCATTTACTTCTAAGAAACCAGGAAGTTTTTAAGCCTGTCACATGTGACGTAAAGTATGTAATATAAAAAGTTGAGGTTTCATACAAAAAAATTCAAAAGCAGAGAGATGATGTTAAAGGCACCAAATTATGGGAAGGGCCTGGTCATTTTAAGATACATCCCAACAATCTCTAAAGACTTCACTGGTCCATAACTGGGAGGCTCTGGCAAAGCTGTTGTGTGCCAGCTTTCTTGGAGCCAAGGTGTTAATGGCCTGTGAGTGCTCCACTGGGAGCACCTTCAACATCTGCTCAGACTCAACCACTCCATTCAGGGGACTTCGTCAAGCTTAGAATTTGAAGAGACTGAAGTTTAAATGACTAATTGAGTTTGGTTTTGTAATAAGAGTCAGAAACACAGCCACTTACAGGTTGGCTATCCCTGACCTGAAACACCCTGAACCAGAAGTGTTCCAGATTTCACATTTTTTTTTCAGATTTTTGAATATTGGCATACATCTTATGGGCCACCTTAAGGATGGAGTCCAGATCTGAAGAGTGTACTTGTGTCTTGTGTATACCATTTTGCTTTAGCATGATGGTAACTTTATACAGTACACTTAATAATGCTGTGCAGGAAGCAAAGATACACGCGGCAGCGCTGTGGGTTTGTGGCCACGCTCAAGAAAACAGTTTTGGAGCACTTCCGTTTTCAGATTAGAGATGCTGAACCAGCACTTCCTGCCTGGGGCAGACCGTAGTGGCCTGCCACAGGACACCATGTTTACATGGAGAGTATACTGGAAGTCCTACATTCAAATCAGACTTGAACCTACCCAACTCTCACCAGCCTTAAGATGAGACACAATTTAAAACCCAAATTGTCCTTCTTCTGTATCCCTGAGATTTCTTTCTGTGTGTCACAGAGTTATACTCTGACCTAAAATAATTCCTGAGAAAGTGGAAAAATAGAGTCTAAAATTGCATGATTGGTAGCTGTGCCATGTGGAAATGTGTAACTAACCTTTGAGATAGGACACATATTTGAAAAACATTGTCTTTCTCCAAATAACAGGGATACCTTTGTACATCATACACTCTGACCTGGAACAGTTTCTACAGAGAGAGTACCAAAGTCCAAAATCATGTACTGAGTAGAGTGGAAATATGTTGATTGGACTGACTCTTAGAGTTGTTTGGGGAAGGCAGGACCTTAGAGATACTGTAATCCTTCTGATATGTTTATGACCACAAAAAGTTTATAAAAGAAACTTTAGTAAGCATAAGAATCATCATTTTAAAAGACAGATTCCGGGATCTCACCCTCAAACTTCTGATTCAGTAAGATCCTGGTGGGACCAGCCCAGCCCTGCCTCAGCCCCAGATGATCTAAGAAGGGTTTCTGAGACTCAGAGTTCCACTTGTTTTATAGCCAAGCAAACCCTGGCCCATGGGAGGACGTCACATTACCGGGCTTATGAGGACAGCCAGCAACAAAGAGCTGGAGGCACACCCAGAAGTTCCGTTTCACTTATAGGGCTTATAGGGTTCATTCTACCAACAATATGAGCTTGGTACAGAAAGGTGAATTCGTTTTGTTTTAATGTTTAATTATCACATATAATAATAGGTTTAATTCTGACCTTTTTGTTCAAAATTTGCTTTTGAATGCTGGGCATGGCGGTGCACACCTTTAATCCCAGCACTCAAAAGGCCCCTGTGAGTCCAAAGCTAACCTGGTCTACATAGCAAGTTCCAGGACAGCTAGGACTATGTCATGAGACTCTGTCTCAGAAAAAAAGAAATTATTCTTGATTCTCTTCCCCTCTTCTCTGATCCCTCTCTGACACCCCCTTCTCCCCCTCACCCCCACCCACAGCCTTCTTTCTGCTTCCGTGTCCTATTCCCCCACCTTCCTCTCTTTTTCCTCCTCTCATGATCTTTCTGTTACACACACACACACACACACACACACACACACACACACACACACACACACCATAATCTAGGATCCAAATGTGAAAGAGAACACGTCATTTTTCTCTCTCTGAGTCTGAGTTATCTAACTTAATACTTTCCGGTTCTATGCATTCTCCTGCAGATTTCATGATTCCAGTTTTCTTTACTGCTGAATAAAATTCTATTGTGCATGAATAAGTTTTCATTATCTATTCATCTAATGATGGGCACCTCGGCTGACTCCATTCCTTGCTATTGTGAATAATGAGCATGGAAGTTTAGGTATTCTGCGTGTAGATGCCCAGGAGGGTTCTATCTGGGTCATGTAGTAGTTCCATAAACTCCACCCTGGTTTCCAGAATGCCTTTACTGGCATACATTCCCAGAAGCAGTGAATAAGGGCCCCTCTTCCCCCACATCCGGTCCAGAAAGAACGTGGTCTTTTCAAGACCCTCTCAACAATTTCTGGTTGTCTTGAAAGAGAAAACTTCTCTGCTCCATAACTGTGAGAGTTTCGACCCTGTTTTCCCAGCTTTTGCAAAAGAAACTTATTAACATGGTGATTGATGTTAATTATTGGGAGGTTTCTTGAATGTACAGGGTCATTTTTGAGGTGATGTAAGGAAAGAGGCAGCTAGAAGTATTTCTTTCATCTCTCTTTGCTGTTGACTTCTGGATGAAGGTCAGCCTGACTGGGGATGAGACAGAATCTCACAGTTTTCATCTGCATTTCCCTGGTGGGTAAGGTTGTTACACACTTTTTAGAATATTCATTGACCACTTGTGTCTTCTTTTGAAACCTGCCTTGTTGGTTGATGGGGTTTGGAGTGTCACTTTTGCAGTTGTCTGTCCATTCTGGATGTTAGCCTCCAGTCCGAGGTGTCGCTGGCAAGGATTTTCTCCTGTTCTGCCGGCCGTCTGTTCACTCTGCTGGTGATTTCCGCCATTAGAGTCCTGTTCAGAAAGTTCTTGCCTTTGTCTTGAAGTTCGTTCCTCACACAGCAGTTCTCTGCAACAGCTTCAGTGTTTCAGCCTTTACATTAAGGCCGTTTGATCCACTTTGAATTGATTTTTGTGCAAGATTAGAGATGTGGATCTCATTTCATTCTTCTACAGATGGAAATCCAGCTTTTTCAGTACCATCTGTTGAACAGACTATTTTTTCCAGTGTATTTTTTTATATCTTTGTTAAAAAAAAATTAGGTGGCCATAACTGTGTGGGTTTATTGTTGAGTGTTCTGTTCCATTCTGTTGGTCCACATGTCTGTCTTTGTGCCAGGATCATGCTGCCTTTGTCACTATGGCTCTGTGGCATAATTTGAAGTTAAGTGTCGTGTGATACCTCCAGCAACGTTCTTTCTGCAAATGATTTAACTATTTTTAGTTTAGGAGAGGTGAATTTAATTCTGTATTTTAAATTTCAGCTTTTAAGCTGATGATAATTCTTGAACTCTTCATTTCAAAGAACAAGTACATGGGCTGGAGAGATGGGTCAGTGATTAAGAGCACTGGCTACTCTTCTAGAAGACCTAGGTTCAATTCCCAGTGTCCACATGGCAGTTTACAACCATCTGCAACTCCAGTCCTGGAGGAGCTTATGCAAAGACATGTGGGTAAGGAACATTTGTTTTGAGAAGTAATCCAGCAGGCTTGATTTTTGGAGACTCTTAAAGCTATCCAGGCTCAATTCTTTAAAAAAAAAAAATCCCAATTACTCTTTAG